ATGAGGGGTCGTTACATCGAATGTCTCACAATGCATCTCAAGAAACTGAACCAGAGAATCACCGACTCCGTTGCGGAAGTGGTCATGCTGAGTGACAAGGTTATTCAGGACCTCATCGACAGCATCCGGACTCAACTGCAGCCCCTCTACCGCGTCTGCGATTCAATCGCACTGCTCGACATGATTGCGTCATTTGCACAGGCAAGTTCGTCCTTCGATTGGAGAAGACCGGAAATATCAGATACTCTAGCGCTGAAAGCTGCTAGGCATCCCATCATGGACAAGGTTTGGCCTACCCACTGGCTGCCTCAACACATGCTGATCGTAAGCAGACTCTGAAGGGTGGCTTTGTACCGAATGATTATTACGCTACCGAGGAGCACCGTTTCCAGATTGTAACCGGCTGCAATATGAGCGGGAAAAGCACTTACATCAAGAGTATCTCTCTGCTCCAGATCATGGCACAAATTGGCTGCTTCGTGCCTGCTGAATACGCCAGTTTTCCCATTGTACACAATATCTTCGCTCGGGTGACTACCAACGACAATATTGAGTCCAATATGTCAAGCTTCTCGCTTGAGATGAGAGAGATGGCTTTCATCCTTAGGTACGTAGCGTTGACGCAGGAGAGGTTCCAGTGCTGACGTGCCCAAGCAATGTCACCCACAAGAGCATCGTCATCATAGATGAACTAGGTCGAGCCACAAGCACTCGAGATGGACTTGCTATCGCGATCGCCATAGCCGAAGCCCTTGTACAGAGCCGTGCCATTGTGTGGTTTGCAACTCACTTCACAGAGCTTGGTAGGTCCCCTGGCGCAATACCTTGACTTCGCTACAGGTGGACCTGGTCGGGAGCTAACTCAGTATGCCTTAGCCGACGTCCTAGCCGATCGTCCCGGAGTGCTGAATCTTCGTCTCGTCACGCAGGTTTCGACGACGGACAATAACGTACCCAAGTTAACTATGATGTACAAAGTTGAGTCGGGAAAGACTGAGGAGTTGCTCTATGGCATCACACTTGCGAAGGCAATGGCATTTCCCAAACGGTTCCTGGAAGTTGCCGAGGAAGTTGCTATATCACTGCATCAACGAAGGGAACAGAATAAGCAGTCTTCTCAAGCGAGGAAGATGCTCAACCGACGCAAGCTGATACTTAATCTTCACGAACAGCTCAAACAGGTGAAAAACTCAGAAATGGATGATTCATCGATGAGAAGCTACCTGGTACGTCTCCGAGAGGAGTTCGTCTTGCGAATGGAGGCTATTGAGAACGGTGGCAATCAAAGCAGCAGCAACGCTAGTAAGGCTATCGGAGACGGGATGGACGGGGAGGATAAGGAGTTCGAGGACGAAGACGTCTTCGACACTGTTGATGTTGAGTCACTTTGGAGCAGCTGAGTGGAGTACTTGAGGAAAAGCGATCTGAAGATGACTTTCAAAACAACATGGTTCTTTCATTGCCAGGTTGTGTTATAGGCATGGGTCGGCCACCTACTTGGCTGTTGTTCATGAGATGGACGTGTATCTTAGTTCGCTTCTACTCATAGGAACACACAAGATAAGGCGAGAGGTGTGGTTCGCTTAGTGATTAGAAACGGTGTCTCCTAGCAGCTTGAGCTTCTGGCATGTTCTGTCCAAGACTGCGTACACAGAGTCATGAGGACAACTAGTCTTGTATTGGTCTTCAAATGGATGATAGGAGCTTCTTGTGCATAGAAGCAGCAAGGTGCATCATCCCAGTGCTCTTGGATTGATGCCATATGCAATTTGGTACGTGTTGAGTCTGGCTTGGAAAGGGCAAGAAGCACCCACCGCTCCTTCCCTCCAGGGGATAGGGAGTTTACCGATCGAACGGAAGGCACCAACCACCCTCGGGCCTTGCATCTTTCCCTCATCGCAACCTCCACGGTCGGTACCTCCCCATCCACCCACCTTGCCGCGTCTATCCTGTACAACGGTTTTCTTTCATCGATCGACTTCACACTCTGCCTTGAGGCCTTGTCTTTTACATCCAGTTCATTCCTCACCTCTGGTCTCGAATATCTTGTGCATTGTACCACGCCCCAGCGGCCTTTTGCGCGCTATGAAGAGCCCGCATTGTGAGTATGGCGAAGAAGCCATGGAGGAGTTCGACCTACCATCGTGAGTTCCCCCAAGGGTCTATTTATCTTCACCTTGCTGACGTCCCATAGCCTCTGGGAGACGAAGAACGACGCCGACATTCTTCTTACAATGGGTGCCAGCAAATGGGAACTTCATGACAAGGCGGTACGCGGAAAGAGTGGCTTGATCGACCATATCCTAGAGATGGTTCAGATGGTAAGCTCCTCATGCAGCGTATCGTCTCGCGAGGTCTCGCATGGCCTTCAAAGTGGCTTTGACTACTAACGGCCGTCTCCAGAAAGAAGGAATGAGAAAGATTCCACTGAAGGAGCGCATGTTCCCTCATTCAGCTCTGAACACAGTCTTGAAGTACTTCTACTTTGGAGGTGAGTGATTTCTTCGGCCTTACGAAGGCGGAGTGTGCTGACCATCAGCAGAAAGCCTGATCACGGAAAAGACTGAAGTGATAGACCTCCTCTCCTTGTACGAGGTGTCCGCGACACTCGGCATTCTCCCGTTGCAAGAGAGGATTGCTTTTCAGGCAGGCTACTTGCTTGGCGAGATCCTCTCCAATGGCACTGACAGAATGGGAGATTTCTACATCGTCATCGAGGTCATCATTGCCGAGCAGGACGACTTGTGGGTTTTCATGCACGAGGAGATGCAGCGAGCACTTAGCCCCTATCTCCTCAAGCTTCTTCAACAGGACACCTTCGTGGACCTCATCAAACAGAACCCGGCATTCTGTTTGGAGATTCTTTCCACCGCTGTTGATCGCATCGAGATACTCGAAGACGCTACAAAGGAGGCGACTAGTGTGAAGGGCGCGAGTGACGTCGGCACTCAAGCTGTGATCGAACATGGCAGTGGTATTCCGAGACGTTATGGTAGGTACTTGGTTGTCGAATATCGGCTCCGCCTTCACTGACACAAAGAAGTCGAAGCAGGAACACAAGCAGACATTCCGCTGCCGCACACCCCGAAAACCATCCCTTCGGCCACAGGTAACGATGACCAGCACCCATGCTCCGACGATGAGACGATTCCTCGGCCCAGAAAGCGCGTATCCATGGTAAATTTGGGCACGGAGTTCATCAGTCGACCAGATGATGCTAAACACTCTTCGCAGTCTATCCCTGGACCAGCGCACAAGTCTAGAACGGCGGAGAATCCCAATCCCACCTCCAAAGATGCCAGAGGTAAGTCTTTTTCCAGCCATTCGGCGAGTTCTGGATTCATTTTCGAAATACTTCGGGATCCTGTTCACACGTTTCACAGGCTGATTGTGCGATAGTGAGCCAAATTCCGCAAGACTTCAAGTTCGACTTTCAGGCAAAGAGCTCCGAGGTCAAGAGTATCTCAACAGGTATCAACCAGAGCCAGGTATGCAGTCTTTCGGCGACGCCGAAAGTGGTCACTGGAAACGGGGCTGTTCCGAATGTTCGCCCTCAATCATCATCATCATCACATGCATCTACTCACTGGGAGTCTTGCAGCGAGGGTGGTGAGAGAGCCGTCCCGGTCACCGAGATGAGCAAATCAATCGCTACGTCTGCCTCTGTCGAGCTTTCATCGCACATTGGTGTAGCGCCAGAGTCTCAATCCCAAGATGAGAAGGCACAAGTTGGCTCTGGAAACAAGAAAGACACGATTTTGGGGAATTCATCGTTGAATCTCTCTAGCCATATTCAAGAGGGATGCCTACCAATTTCGCTGCCCGAAGACTCCGGTGCCCGTCAGACCGAGCAGACTGCAGTTCCCGCCAGTTATGAGCGGTCAAGTCGCTCCTACGCTTTCAAACGCGACAGCCTCCCTCGAGGGTTCCAGTTCTTCCAGTTCTCTGGTGGACCGCAGCCAGGGCAATGCGATGTCTCTACTAGCAAGGCTGCTTCTAGTCACTCTCAGGGAAATAAGACAGCTGTCACGGGAGTCGTCGAAAGACAGCGAAGAGAATACGTGTTGCGCGGGTCTGAAGTCACACAGACCGAGGGGACATCTGCTCCCGCCATTCCGGAGCGGCCAAGTCGCCCGTACGGCTTCCACAGCGCAGACCTACCACGAAGCTTCCAATTCTCTGAGGGTGCCCAAGGAGAGCACTCCAAAGAGCCGAGTGTCAAAGCATCAGGCAGTAAGACACCCAACACCAAAGCCTCCACCAGCTGCGCTCAGCAGAGTACCTCTTCGTCTTTCCACACCAGAGTGAAGCCGAGCCCTTGGAAAGCCAGTAGAGCAACGGCGAAGCAAATAAGAAAAGGCCGGCTGATAGTCGAGCCTCCTGGTGAGTTGCCAAAGCCGTTCAACTTTTGGTGGTGCGGGGTTCTGCCTTGCCACTGGCTGCTCTGTTATCCAAAGGCCTTCTTCTCACCGTCACCATAGAAATCTCCCCCAGCTCACGAACAAACTTCAACCTCGAAGGGGACAACCTGGAGGAATGCTGCAAACCTTCTTGAAGTTGACAGATCTCCCGAAGTTCATCAGGGAACTCAGTGACGCAGCATCATGCGAGTTTTTGGCCGGGATTCAGTATCCGAAGATACTGTGTGAGTAATTACTGGATGAGCGAGAGGAATGTTAGGAGAGGATGCATTCGAGGACAGAGGCATCCAACACGTGTTTATTGGTACAAGGTATGGACATCCCTACAGAACGTCGCAGAGTATGACTGACATCACATCAGTGCTGAAGGTTTCCACCCAAGAAACAAACCCTTGTGGATCAAGTATCCCTGACCATGATGGTCTGAAGGTATTGAAGTCTCAGAAGGGATGATGATGGAGGCGGCAAGTGAAATGTAGTAGCGGCCATCACGAAAATCATGGCATGATACAGACTTCCCGATGTCAGGGTAGCCTTGTAGATAGATCAAGGCCAAGAAGACCGAATGCAATTTACTGCCTACAATTGGGCCTTCTCCGTCCGGTTGCCCTGCTCGTCAAACCAGATCTTGGTTCCCTTAATCATTGACTCCTGCAATGCCGCACCGATCTTGACAGCAGCCACTGCTGAAGTCAACTTGATCGGCACAGGCTTATCCTCCAACACACTCTCGGTAAACTCAATCGCCTCGGTCGTGAAAGCAGCCCTGAAACGATCCCAGTACGTTTGCGGCAGCTCTTGCCGGATGCCTCCCGGTGTGTAAATCTTTACATGGTTCTCCGCCGGCAACAGGTTGACGGACAACTTGCCCTTGGTACCAATAATCTCCGTTGAATCCTCCTGGCCCGCGGCCATCATGCGCGAAGCATACAGATACGCGATGCGCCCATCGTAAAACTCGACCGTGCCAACAGCGTTGTCGCGATCGTTGTGCTTCCGCAAGTCCGGCTCGACGGCTGTGATGCCCACGGCGTGGACGGACTTGACCTTGGTGGTCTCCTCGTCAAAGAACCAGAGCGCGAGGTCAATGTCGTGGATACTGCAGTCGACAAAGATGCCACCCGAGAACTGGGCGTAGGCGACGAAGAAGCCTGAGGGGTCGAGGACGTCGCAGGTCTGGCTGCGGAGGATGGCGGGGCGGCCGATGAGGCCTTGTTGCATCTTTGCGTGGGCGTCGCGGTAGGAGGCGTCGAAGCGGCGGGAGAAGCCGCACATTACTTTGAGATCTGGGCGTTTTACGGCTGCGTCGACGACGGTTTGTGACTGTGGCCATGTTGTTAGTTCCCTTCCAACCGCACATGTTCAGGTGGGAAGGACAAGACACTTACAACTTCAACAGTGGTGCCCAATGGCTTCTCGCACAAGACGTGCTTGCCCTTCTCAATGGCCTTGTTGGCCTGCTCTGCGTGGACAGAGGTCGCGGACGCCACACAGATGGCCTCCAATTCCTTGTGGGCGAGCATGTCATCGTAGGACTCGTAGACGGTGACGCCGTGGGGGGCAAGGTTCTCGGCGGCCCATTGGCGCTCGCCAGCGTCGGGGGAGCTGACGGCGACGAGGGTTGCGCGGGGCACGTTTTGGTGGAAGTTGAGAGCGTGGCGCTTGCCCATGCGGCCGAGGCCTGCGACGCCTACTTGGAGCTTCTTGGTTGACATTTTGCTTTCTTTGCGGTTCTGGTGACGTTTCGTGTGGTGATTACTGAGGTGGTCGTAGTGTAGTCCGGTGTCCAGGGTTTGACTTGTGATCGTGAGGAGGGTGGATTGCGGTCTATGTCTATGTCTATCTTCTCTGGTGCGCAAATCGAACGGGAGCTTGACGGTCGTAAGGGTACTAAAGATGAGGGAATGTACGAATAATGGCGGTGACGAGGACCGGTGGGATGCTTCTCCTCTCGAGTCGAAGACAACTGGCGCAAATGTACAACCTGGGAGGAGTCGAAAGGTACCGAGGACGGCTTAACATAGCTCTACAAACATTAGGGACCTCTGGCGTCTTATATCTCACAGCCTTTCATACGGAACCTCACCGTCCTCGGAGCTCTATCGGAAACCATTTCCCGACACGAGTAAAGAGCTCCATCGCGGGGCACCTCTGACGCCGTTGAGGGGACCATCTCATGCCGATTGACCAGTGGGAAAGTGGAAGCGCATGTCGGAATCCCACAAAAGCGCGCTCAGGAGTCAAGACGCGTCGAGGAGCCCACGTGAACTTGCAGCAATGCTGAGCTGTGAGAAAGCTTTGAGGCATCTCGAAACTTGGCTTGCAACCGGTGTAAGACAGCCCACTTTCCCCTTTTTGCGAATGAGGCAGGTGGGGGGTTGGAAATGAACAAAAAAGAGCTTCGCATTGGTTGCTCAGCTTATCGGGGCAAGTTTCCCCGATTCTGAACTTGGCTCCCACGGCAACTTTGTCCGGTCTTTATGTCTTACGGCCAGATTACGTGAACGAGACCGAGCTCCGCGTATAAGCTCGCCACCATGCGACTAAGTATTGTACATTACGGATATACCCCAATATCCCAAAGCTAAAGAATAAACTAAGAAAAAACTTGTTGAATACGATGGGAACCTGGGGTAGCCGACAAGTGTGCGTTCCAGAACTGGTCATGCCCTGCATGTGTCAAGATCGCGTAGGTAATACGTGATTACCCGCATTGCGGATACGGGGTAATGTCCGTGTAGATTGAGTCTTTCTGATCCTCCGCATTGCCTAGATTCGCTCTGTCGGGATCACCAGATTCCTTCCCCGTACTTCACCCCCCTCCCCTTTCCCTGTCCTTGGTGCCGGTTTCCTGGGGTACGGGGTAATGAGGGGGACCAGATGACTGGAAATGAAGTCGTTTAGTCCTGTCTGTACGTGCCCTTGTGTCCATGGTTGTTACGGAATAGTCGTCGTGATTATTGGCCATCCACAATAAGACATGTAGGCACACCCGCGAGCAATTACCGGAATCCTAATCCCGATCTTTTCATGTAATATGCTGTGACTAAAGACACAAAAAACATCAACGTGGTATTACTGCAAGGTACAGTAGGCAACTATGTTGAGTACTCAAAGACATATTCAGTCATGAATCGTCCTCCCACCCCCACGCCCTCTTCAAGTGTGACTGTGCCGAAGCAGTGGGCCACATGTGCTCAACATCCGTCTTGACCAAAATATCCAATAGTGCTTTTTGCTCGGTATACTCGACGAACCTGTCCCCGCACGCTGTAACACCCATACAGGCCGTGAACATGGCTGGTATCGTCTGCTTGTTTGATAGCGCGGCGCCACATAGTTCTCGGACTTGCATACGAATGTCGTTCTTAAGTTTCCCATGTTAGCTAGTTCTCAGGTCGAGATTGTTAGAATGATTGGAACCGCTTACATCTAGTTTTTTTCGAGCTCGGATTCGACTAGGTCCTATCTTGGGAATGCTCTCGTCGTGGCACATCAAGAGCGCTCGTGCTAACGCCCCATGCACATTTCCGATCACTAGGCTATGTTAGTGGGCTCGTTCACCATGTCGCCACGAGCAAAGACTGGAAAATAAGTCCTAGCTTCAGGGAAGGGAGAAGACTAACCGACTGCATGATTAATGTAAAAGATTTGCGGAAACACCAAGCCTGAAGCAAGGTCCGGCTCAGAGTACGCGATAGGCAGCCAAGAAAGCGGCCTCGCGCGTAGCCAGTTATAGTCATACTCAACCAGCCGCTGATACTCACTCTTGCGGTTCTCCACCTCGCCAAAACAAAACTGCACCACCTCGGCGCAGTGCACGACGATGCGATTCGCCCAGCAATCGTCATCAGCCGGCGAAAAGGACCGGTCAATGAAGAGGTGGTCGAGCTTGACCTTGATCGGCCGCTGCGTCGCAAACGCCATGGTAATTTCCTGCCGGAGGCCTACCCAGAACGAAGCCTGTCGGAGGGAGCTCGGCGGGTCGAGGGCGGATGCGTTTTGCGTGTTCATGAAGAGCTGGATGCCGAGAAGATGGCCCTCGTGGTCTGTCCCTATGAGCGGGACATCGAGCTCTTCAAGGGTGCGGAGGAGGATTGTCGCCGCGAGGAGGTCATCGTTCGTGAGGGCCGACGAGTCGTTTGAGATGGTAGTGAGGTGTTTGAGGCATTCTTGGTGGTAGCGGTCCGAGGCGTAGGGGTCATACTGTTCATGGAGGCTGAGGTGGCGGGAGGAGAGGGCGAAGATTGCGTTGAGGAGGGTTGGACATGTTGTTGCTCTTCGGGGAACGACGATTGCAAAGTGCCGTCTTGCGTCGCATAGATCGAACTGAAAAAGGGGGTTAGAACAGCCGAGGAGTTGCCAGATCATACTCCTGAGGTAAAAAAGCGTATGACCACTCACCCAGGTGCACATGTACTCTAGATAGTACTTCATCAACCTCACCTCATGAGGCTGCGTGAAAGGAAACACGACGTCGTCATGATGCTCAAAATTGGCTAGCCCGAGAGTTGACCCAGATGGAATAGCGCTGTAAACAGATGGCAAAGTTGTTGGTGTCTGCACCTGCACCTCTCTCCAACTCGCAGCCGGCGTAGAGGCGGGTTGGCTGTAAGGACTCGGGACTAGAAGCCGGGCATCACGATAATCTCGGCTATGCGAGTCGATGATGGGAGCCGGGGATGCGGATGCGGCGTCATCGGGTTGCCGTTGTTCTCGGCGTCGTTGTTGTTCTAGATCCACCAACAGCGCGGATGATGATAATGATGAGCCAGGATCAGGATGTGTCGCTGGCAGTGGTACCCGCTGACCCTCCGCTGGTGCAAGCTGCGGCTGTAGTGCTGCCGGTGGATGGAGTTGCGGTTGCGCTTGTGGTTGCGGCGGCGGGCTGCCGTGTTCAGACCAATAAAGAGCCTCAAGTTCCTGGGTTTCATCGACAAAGTGTACTATGTGACCGAGTTAGGCAATTTTGACAGAAAAGAAAACGATGTCGGGATAAGCTTCGTTCCAAGATGATTCCAAACAAGGCATTTCTCGCCGTTTTTGCTCGTAGATTTCCTCCTCATTTTCCCCAACTTCTCCAACTTGCAAGGTCTTGGAGGTGGGACTGGTAAACTTACATCGCCGCGGATAGGGCACCCACGTCTGCTCCGTAGCGCTCGGCGTCCTAAATCAGCGAGACAAAACCCATAGTAAGCGATCAGCGTTCCCGCAAAAAAAGCAGTACAATATGGCGCATTACGGAGTCTAGAGTTGCAGATTCGTTCCCGTGACGAAAACGAAATGGGGGTACAACGTATTGTAGTGGTAAACGGGCCGGGCGAGACCATTATCTCGGTTCCGCTTTGCGTAAATCTTGACTCTTGCTTCACCAATGTCGCAACTTGCACATTGTGTAGTGTAATTCGCAATTGAGCGGGGAGCGACTGGGGTGCCACAGAGCCAAGTACAAGTTTGCCAGAGTTGATGATAGGGAATGAGAGGAATTTGGCCGTCACTTACTCAGTGGCATGCTTGAATCGAATTGCGGGGGCCGGAATACAGTCCTTGCCAGTTGCTCTGCATCGAATACATGATTTCAAGTGGACGTCGGGCCGAGCAGAAGACGGAGACGCATCGTCATCTGTGCCCCACGCGCATTTGAGATGTTGCTTTTTGCAAGTCTATTGTTCATGTTCATTAGCTTTGGAGTTGAGTATGTCCGCCAACGTAGGTACGGTGGGAGTCGGAATGGGATGCAAAGTCCGACCGGCAGGCAGTCCAGTTTGGTCATCTCATCCCACAGATTCCACATCGCCAACCCCAGATATCTCAGTCAGCAGCAATTCCACAACTTCTGATTGCTTAGGCGAAATCCGGGGTAGAACACGGATCACGGAGGGTCGGGCGTGGGCGACAAACTCTGGGGAAATGGGGTGAATAGCCAAAGCGAATAGGGCCGACTTACCAGACATGTCGTCGACATGATTTGACTCCCACCTCTTTCAGTCTCTTTTCGTCCTGCCTTGTCGCAGTTTCGTAAAATTGGGACGATCACGACGATGTAGGGAAGTTGGGGGATAAAAGCATTGCCTCCTTCGTGAATTCAGGAAATCTGTGCGTCGGGGCAAACTGCTTGTTAGTGTAAAAGAGGAAGAAAGCTCCTAGCCTCTCACCCTAGGCCCTACAGCCGTCGGTGAGGCTCCTTCGGTTCAAATTTCCACGCCAACCATGTCCTGGCCTCCTCCTCCTAGCCTATGACGAAAGTGTTAATGCAGGTTGGAAATGGCCCCTGACTCGTGTTGGGGAGAGGCCACCCCCTGGCCGGCCAGCCCCCATCCAAATCCATGGAGGCTCGGCACTGCAAATCCACGGCCAGATTCCGGAGTATTCTGGTATTTCGAGACATAGCGCACAGAAACCCCACCTAACCCGTCAATTCCCCACGGGCAACTCATGTGCGAGAATCTTCTGACAGGCGGCCCCTGTACTGCGTGGAAACCGCGTTCTTATCAGCTTGGAATTGCCAGAAGCACGCAGAAGACTCTAATCATGTGCAGCCAGTATCTTGTCCTCTTCGACGTCCTTCTATAGTCCCACCCAGGCACTCCGTGGTCGATGGTCGAACGGTGCCTGGAAGGGCGCACATCGTCTGTTGAGTTTTGTCATCGAACTTGATCTCGAACGCGTCTTCAATTCTTCGCAAACACCCCCAAAACTCCAACTGCCAAGTTCT